ATTATTATTATACACTAATACACATTTAAACTATACAAAATATATCGTATATTCAATAATTATAAATAATTTTCAATACATACAAATAAAATATATATAATATAATATTATACGTAATATTTACAAATACAATTACATTATGTATAACACATATACTTATCATATTCTTATGCAAATTATTATTGTACACACAAGCATATAATATTGAAAAATTATTGAATAAACGAATTATATTAATATATATTTATATATATCACAAAATTATACGTATTCATATAATATTATATAAATGATATAATATAGGGATTTTAAATATAATTTTCATAAAAATATTATTGGTATATTATATATGTGCATATATTTGTAAATACATGTATATATAGTAGAACAAAATCAAAATATATCATATTATTTTTTATATATCATATACATTTTATGTTCCATATTCATATTATAATAAGCATGTATGTATAACATATATAAATATTGTACTTGTATAGGAAATTTTTCAAATGCACACATACAAAATATTCTTATTCAAATAATATCCAGTCAATATAATATCCTTTAATTTGTACTACGATATATTCTTTTTTTTTTTTGTATACATATTTATTTTTTTATTTGTATGTGTATATAGTATATTATAATAATATTTTTCTCCTGTCTGAAAATGTAGTAGCAAAATTCCTTTCTAGTTTTCAGTTCCCAGTATTGTGTCGTTGTGTTATTAACGTGCGCATTTGATACAAAAAAAAATAAAATTAAAAAAAAAAATAAAAAATTCATACAGAAAAAAAAAAATTATTTTTTCTCTTTAAATTTTTTTTTTTTACTAAAAATAAAGGAAGAAAAAAAAAGTAAAGAATTTCGTGTTATAATAAAAATTTTCTTTTATATATTCTTTGGATTGAAAAAATAAATTAGTTTTTATTTTAAATTTATATTAATAAAATATTAATAAAAAAAAAATTAAATTTGTCCTAGATAAAATAAAAAAAAAAAAATTACATATATACCTATATACATGCATACATACCTATTTATTATGTGCTTATATATACATATATATGTATAGCTTTCAAAGAAAATTCAAAACTGAAATCTTTGTATTCTTTATTATAACAGTAGAGCATAGAACAAAAAAAATAGAACAAAATACTAATATAGAACAATATTAAAAAATATAACAGAAAAAATTAAAGTAAAATTAAAGCAATATACAATGTTACCGTTATAATAAGTATATATGAAAAATATAAAATAAATAAATACAATATTTATATAAATTTTATATAAAAATATAAAAAAAAAATATAAAATATAATTTGTGACGAATGAAACCAATATTCTAAATATTAATTATTACTTGTTTTAAAATATACTAACGAAAATAATAATATACATATAGGAATATTGCATTTATACATATATATACAAAATATAATAATTACATGGAATATCGAATACTTCTTAATAATATACTTAAAGTAAAATCAAGAAATTAAGTAAAAAAAAAAAAAAAGTAATAGCAACAGAAAAAAAAAAAAAAACTCCAAGAATAAATCTGAAGGACATTATTATCCTTTGGTGCGAAGAAAATAAGAAAAATAAAAATTTAAAACAGAAAAATATAATATTTTTTTTTATATACATGCATAAAATATAATAAAAGTTCACATGTATGTATGCACAAACACATATATACTCATACATATTATAATGTATGTATTAATATTTATAAATAATATTCTAGAAAAGTTTTTAAATTTAAGAATAGATTTCTATATTAAATTCGATAAAGAAAAGAAGAGGAAAGAAAAAAGAAAATACAAATAAAAATTTATAATTATTATTTTTTACTTTTAGGATCTAAAATAAAGAACCAAAGTAAAAATTAATAAAAGTTAGAAAAGACAATGTTTTATTTTACAATAATTTAAAACTGTATATAAAAAATAAGGCCATTAAAAAGGCAAATATTCTAATACCTAAATAATATACTAATAACACAATAACCACACACATACTCGTACATGTACTATATTACAATAAAATATTGTTTAATAAATAACGGTGAAATTATTATTAAGAAAATATTTTTTTTTTTATTTTCTAATTTTTTTACCATTTATAAAATAAATTTTCATGAAATAAAGGAATAAAAGAGAATTGTTTTTATAAAAGAAATTGAAGAGAAAACAAAAAATGTTTTTTTTTTTTCTTAATTATTCTATTGAACAATCATATTTATTGTTATACACAAATAGAATCAGAATATTATTTAAATATTATATGTTATAGAAAGTATAACATAATTATATTGCTAGATATACGTAACATTTTTATGTATGTACGTGTTTAATATGAAATAAAAAGAAGTTAATAAACATTTATCGTAATATTTTCTTATACACTTTATGTATATGTACATTATATATTGCATTAAATATTAATATAAAATATAACTGATATACATACATGTACATATATTTATTTAAATTAAAATATGAAAAAAAAAAAAATTTTAATATTTAATACAAAATCTTAAATGTCAAAAGTTGAACATTTTGACTGAGTACAAAATTTTTATTTCTTTTTTTCTGTTTTTCTCTTCGTATTTATTTAACATTTAATTTTAAGTATTTACTCTCATCTTTTGCCGCTCAGTCCTATTATTACACAATTCTCTTTTTTTTTCAGTTTTGTATGATTACTGTTTTTTTTTCTTTAATTTTATAAGCTCTCTTTCTCTTTGTTAATATTAAGGAAATTTTATAATGTTAATGATTATGAATTTTAAAAAATGATTTTATTAACAAAGTTTTTCAAGTCAAAATTATCATTTTTTTTTTTTTTCATTTTCTGATATATTAAAAAAACTGAAAGTTATAAGAAATTTAATTAGTATAATAATATAAAATATAATTTTAATAAAATGTTTTTTAACAACTATTTTATAAAATATAAAAATTTATTAGGAAAATAAAAGAGAAATTGACACGAAATATAAAGAGAGAGAGAGAGAAAAAGAGAAATTCGAAAGAGAATTAAAAATAAGTAATAATAAAATATGATAAACAGAAATAATGTTAAGTTAAATGTAAAAAATGTAAAACATAAGATGTAAAATGTTAACAACATTATGAATAAAACAAAAAAAAAACAGAAGTAAATTTAAATAATTAAATTAAAAAAATCTGTTCCATTTTTAATGAAGAAATCAAAAAATTTTAGTGAACGTGTAGGATAAAAAAAAAAATTGAGAAATGTTTTTTTTTTTTTTTTGGATAAAATTATGTGATATGAAAATACATATAATATAAATTTTTTTTTTTGTATGTTCTACTTTATTATATGGACCACACCCGCGCGCGTGCACACGTTTAATATTCAGCTCATTTTTTTTTTCTAATATTTTACTTTTGCGTTTTTTTTGTCTTATTATACACAGAAAATAATCTAAAATCGAAATTATATTAAAAATTAATAAGAAATAAAGAAACGAAAATATGAAATTTATTAATAAAGAAAAAAGCAATATTCCTTTAAAATTACGAAACGAATGTTTTATGTCCAAATTTTTTAATTTCTAATGCAAATATATAAATAATGTACATACTCTTATACACAATACCCACAAAATCATGAATTTTTTAAAGTTTATTAAGATTTAAATTCAAATAATGAAAAAAAAATAATAATAAATACATTTTTATTGTTTAATAAATTTCCCTTAGTAATTTCCCTTAAACAAGTAAAAATTTTTTTTCTTGAAATAAAAGAAAAATGCTCTTGTGTTTTTTATCCACGATTAACATTTTTATAAATGTAATAATAATTATGATTTATGCGTGTATGTAAAATATATATATTTTTTTTTCAAATAATTCTTATTATTAGAATAGCGAAAAAAAAAAGAAAAATTTCACACATTTTTATGTGTATAAGAAAAGGAGAAAAATTTTTAAGTTTTTTTTTTTTGTACCTTTATTTTCTTTTTTGTTTTTTCTTTATTTGCCTTTTTGGGTATAACATCCCCAAAAAAAAAATATTGTATTTTTTTTTTGTGCTTCAATTTGCTTTCTATTTTTGTTATTTCTGGCCTGGATCCACATATATATATATATATATCTTCTACCTATGCATATTGTATAATAAATATTAATAATAATAAAAAAAAAAATTTACGTACTTGCATGTATATAATATAACAATATTATTCCCACGTACAATGTTATATACATATGCATTACTTAATGTATACATAACTACATAATATGAACTGGTATACATTAATATTCACTTGTATATTAAAAAAATGTTAATAAAAAAAAAAAATAACAGAGACAAGGAAAACATTTCAACAAATTATTCTTTTTTTTTGTTTTTAAACATTATAAAAGTTAAATAAATAAGAAAAAACATTTTGTTAAAATTAGACAATTAAATAACACATAATAATTGATAAAACAAATATTTGAAAAAAAAAACACACACACACAAAATTAAAATTTTATTATTTTACTCTCTTTTTTTTTTCTTGTTTTTGAATTTTTCCAGGTTAAAATTAAAATAAATTCTCATCTCTAATAATATATTCAATATATATCATATATATTTAATATTCTATATATATATATTTTAAAAGAACAATAAACATAATAACAATTTATTTATTTAAACTAAAAAAAACTATGAAAAAATAAAATTGAAATACGAAATAAAAAATTTAAAATTAAAATTTATAGATAATTAAATAATTTATTGAAAATTTATAATAAATAAAGTGCAATAAATTAAAAAATTAAAATATATGAATATATTATAAACATTAAAAATTTTTTAATAAATATTATTGGTGTATTATAATAAATAAAGTTTAATTTAAATATAATAAAAAAAAATATATTTAATAATTAAATTCATTTGAAAAGAAAAAAGAAAATAAATTTCAAATTTAATATAAAATTTATTTAAAATAATATTTAAATTAGATATTAATTATTAAAAAATATATTTAATAAAATTTTTATATTAATTATTAGAATAATTAAAAAGATATTAATTTAAAAAAAAAAATAAAAAATTGAGAGAAATTAACTGTTATACAGCACTAAAAAATTAATAAATATTCTTTTTTTTAATATTAAATTCGAAATATAATAATTAATAATTTATATGTTTATTGGATATGACATTTAGACATAGGTAAGAATTATTTGCACAAATATACATATACATATTTAAATATACAGTGACATCCCGATATAACAAATAATCTATAGGTCAGAAAAGTTTTTACCAAGATATCTTTCACAAAATTTAATACATGCAGTATTAGAAAATTAAATAATTAAAATAAATTATAAATTGTTTCAGTTGCACAGATTTTGTTAAGTCTATATCACTGGAAAAGAAAAAATCAAGTAAATTATAAAAACTTGATAAAAAAATAACTCATATTGATATAACAAAAAGGAAATTTACAATTATTTAGTGGTAATATTCGTTTTTTGATAGTAGCAATCAAATAACCCACAAAATATTTAGATAATTTCTTTTTTATTACTAAATCTTCAAATTGTGCGTATGAATCACCCAGGAAATTTTTTTTATGTCCGCTTTACAGAGAGTTTTAAAAGAAAAATTTTATTAATTCTTATTAAAATAGTATTCAACGAAAAAAAATTTTTAAAAAATCACGTGAAAACATGAAAATACTTTAAGTTTTTTTTAAATGTAGACCTTGTTCTTTTACACATTCACAATTGTTCTATAGTTGAGTAGGCAGGAAATTTGATGTTTCGATCAATTAACGTTTTTATATTTGAGAAGATGCGCTTTTATTCTGCCTGCTATTGCCCATTAAACTTCTTTTCTTATAAAATAAAAGAAAAAATAGAGGAATGAGAAAAAATAAAATTTTCGAAATTTATTTTTTCTCATTCCTCTATTTTCTACACAATTTTAAGTTAGAAATCACTATTTATTTTAACATATTCGTTTAGTTAAAGGTTTAAAATATTTTATATAAGACTGTATAGTATGACCTTAAGAATTCAAAACTATGCAGCCCGAGAATGAATTATGAAAAAATATTATCTATGCCATCTTTAAATTTAATATTTCACAATCAATAATTTCTTCTCTATAATTTTGATTTATTAAAAAAAAGAGCTTAATCAAAAATAAAATTGGAACCAAAAGAGACACATATTTAATTTTTCTAAAAAAATCATTTTAAATCATTTTAATCCTTCATTTATTTTTAAATTAAATTTTATTTAAATAATTTAAATATTCCTTTTATTTTAATTAGAATATTATGTAAAACCACGTTTTATTAAGTTAATTACAAATTTCTAACCCAAAATAGAATTTTATTTTTATTAGAATATAATTTCATAAATGTATTTATAATTAAGTACATAAATTTATAAATCCTTAATTATATTCCATAATCGAGAAATTTTAATTAGATATCTATTACATTCACAGATGAATTCATTGAAACCCTAGGATATTTTCATATGATTTATTCTTTTTATGTATTTTCACAAAAAAAGAATAATCAAATCGTCATTCTTAACACTATTATCAAGGTTTTTGTTACCTATTTAGCGTAATTCTTAATTTCGGCAATCGAGAATCTAAGAAACAATATGAAATATTCTAGTGACATATTTTAAAAGTTGTTAACTGCTTTCAACTGCCTTCTACACGTTACCTGTTGCTTTAATCACAAAAAACACAATTTTTTGAATTCTATTATTAAATATAATTTACATACGTTGTAAAGTTGTATTTCAATTACGAATATTTTCATTTAAAATTAAAACTCATTATTAAGTATAATTGCAGTAAAATATATAACAGTTTGACAAAATTAAGTTGTGAAAAAATCTGAAAGATTTTATAATCAAACTTGCGTAGTTGATAACACTCCATGGGAACAAGAAAAAGATTAACAGAAATTTTTGGATTTTAAAAATGGTGCAACAAATTAACACTGAAACAAATATCCACCTAAATCTTTTGATACATTTTGCCCTATACAAGTTTTACAATATTAATGCATACTTTGACGTTTGTTTGAAAATTTCAATATAAAATTCTGTGCAAATGTTAAGTTTTTAAAAACGTTATCAAATCATTAAAAACATAGCATTTTTATGCTTCATTTTAGAAAAAAAAACTTAATAACTAGCACTTTATTGCTATTGGTTATTTCTGGCAACATTTATATGACGTGTATAAGAAAAGCGTGCTCGATTTTTTCGACATCCAATTTACTTTTATTTTACGTATCCACTACGTATAGGACGCATTTAGTAAAAGTGTACAATTTCAAGAGATTTTACTAAACATTTTGGAATGTGATACTTTGCACAGTTTACGTCGTCAGCGCATTATTAAAGTCACGGTATCTATATGTTTTTCATATTGACGCAGAAAAAATCGGGATTATTTAAATTCTTTTTTATAAATTAAATAAAATTTTAAAATTGAATTTTTTTTTTTTAATTTATAATTTATGCGGTATTAGTATAAAGTCTCTTCAATAATGCATGTATGTATAAATAATAGCCTACATTTATAATCAATTAGAATGAATAAATATAAAAACAAATACCTATTGTTGTATGTATATAATTTTAATAATTAAATGCGGTTTCAAAACCAAAATTACCAATAATAAAATTCAAAACTAATAATTCAGAAAATTGTGGTCATTTTAAAATGTTAATTTAATTGTGAATTTCAAAATTTTTTGTAATCTAAACCACTTTTATTCTCAATTAGAATAGTTAAGTGATTTTACTTAAGGATTTTAAAAATAAATTTCATATTTTGTTTTTTGTTTGTTTATTATGTTTTTCCAATCAATAAACACAATGCAAAAATAAACATTTAAAATCTTTTGGTTTTTATTAAAACTATAAGCCACAAATACCCTAATCAGCTTAATTTTCTAATGCTAGTAGCATAAAAATTTTAATACAACATTAGTAATAAACTTAAGAATACTTAAAGTTAGACAATTTAGTCCTTTCAGACTTAAGCACAAATCCAATTTAAAATTTAAGCCAAAATGCAAAACATTACGATTTGCTACTTGTATAGTTTTATTTGTTTAATAATATGAAACACGCACTTTCTTACGCAAATGCTTTATGTAAGAATAACTGCAGCATGAAATGAAAATTCGAGAAAAATCTATTGGCTATTTTTGACCGAACCGATTAAGGAAGAAGCAATTTAAATTGGGCCAAAAAAATTATATTTTTAAAATAGCAGCATATTTTTTTTCAATAATTAATCATTTAATTCATTAATTATATTAATTATATTAATTAAATAAAATCATACATTTTAATAAAAAAAAAACAAACCAATGATAATTATAAATCTTAATTAATACCCTCATTTTATAAAAGTAAAAAAAAAAATATTCATTAAATTTTACCAAAAAAATTTTTACCATGACAAAATTATAAAAATTAAAATAAATTTCTGAACTAAATAAACGCTTCATTAGGCCAAAAGAAATCAAATTGATAATTAAATTAATTTTTATTTTATATTTTAACCAATTTTTTAAATTTATCTTCTATTATTTTCGTAAAATAGTTTAATCATTTATAATAATTTCATTAATGCTGTGTTAATAATATTGATCTTCCATTAGGGTAATTCCCCTTTTTTTTCAAAAACACATAACAATTCTGTGTAAATAATGGGTGAATGGGTGTTGAACTATATCCTATATGCTTACCATGATGGTAAACCAATATAAATAAAATTATTATTTATTTATTAATCTATTATGTCATTTGATTATTCTTCATCTGGGTCTCAAATTTTATTTATCCCTTATATTATTTATTTTTCTTTTCAACCAGAAATGTATGTACACAATGTATATTCAATCAAATTTTATATTTATACATAATATATAAATTAAAATTCTATTATTAACAATTGCAATTCAACAGAATCAATCATAAAATCGCATATAATCAAATTAATGATTAAAGACTGTTGATTATTAAGTCATAAATAATAGAATTTTATAGAAGGAAATTATTTGTTCTATACAAAATTATCAATGAAAAGAATTTTTTTTTGCTTGTATATTGGAATATTTGTTAGTTTTCAAATTTCTTAATTAAATATTTAATTCCTGTTTAAATTTCCGGTATTTTTTATAATTTATAAAAATTTTTATTTAAAAAATTTTCACACGAAATGCAACAGAGCATCAACTCATCCCTAAAGAAAATTTAAAATATTCTTACAAAATTATAAAGAAGATTAAAATGTTCTCACATCACTACCACTCATACATTCCCGTTTATTCTACAATTCATATATAATATGTTGCCTTAACATCAATAAAATTTCATTTATAAAAAAAGTAGGGAAACAAGTTTTTACCTTTAATTATTTTATGTACCGCAAGGGGTCTTCCTTTTTTATTCCCATTGTTTTGTGTGTGTTTCTTTTTTCTTAAGTTCAAATAATTCGACATACCTACACTATTTTCCGTCTTTATCGTATTTTTTTTTTCCTTTTTAGGATATTTTAAACAAAAGAACTAAAAATACAATAAAAAAAAAATTAACTAGATATACAAAGTTAGATAAAAGAGAAAAAAAATTTTTTTAATATCCTTATAAAAATTATCAGCCTAATAACAAAAGGTGCATAATATGTATGAATATGCGTTTGTACATTCTCATACCTTCCTTAATAAATAATAAACTAAAACGAAATAATCATGATTATGAAGGGAAAGAATTTTGTCTTCAATATTTTTTACCGACTGCATTGCATACAATAAGGGAGGACATATGATGGCATCATATTTCGTATGTCAAGTTTTTGATTAAACTATTTTCAAAGAGATGTTGGTCTGCGTGTGCACGCGTGTATCTCTCAAAATGAGATAATTAAACAATTTCCTTTAAATTAATTATTTAAATTCGGAGCTTTAAAACAATGTACCCATAAATTTTCGAAAAGACCAGGGCTCGAAACTGAACGTGGGATCAATTTTATATATTTTATACCACATATACGGAACGGATTGATGGAATTTCTTGAAATTCGAAATTTGAGTTCTGGTTAGTACTGAAACTAACCAGTTTCAGGGAATTCGGGTAGCAAAAAACGAAGTTCCAGAGTCAAATTTACTGTTTTCTAAG